AGACACCAAGCCCCCTGGGTATTGGGCCCTGTGGGAGGCAAGAGAATGAGAACACAGGACACTAGCCCCAAGGAGCTTATGATCTGTGCGGGGAGGCGAATCTGGCATTCAGAACACAACTTCAAACCATGCAAGATGGTGCTGACTGTGGGTAAAGAAATGGAACGCAAACCAGACAACCAAAAAAAGCTTACTTGTCAGTTTAAAGATGCCTGAGGTTTTTGCACACATATTATTAAAATTGTTGAAGAGGCAATACCGCCTTTTAGGAAGATGTTTCCAGTATGAGCAATGGTTTAGGTTGCTAGTGCAGCCTGTGGACTGGGCGGGGTGCTGGAATGGTTGCCATGGAGACCAGTCAGCTGTCTCCACTGTCAAGTGGCTGCTGTTTCAAAGTTGGTTTCTGCTTGGAGGAGTCTGCCTGGAACCTCAAAGCCGTTTTCCCTGGAAACAGTGCTCCAAATGATGGGTGTCCTTCCCACACAGGCCTGTGTCATCTGGCTGTAACAGAACTGAGATAGCAGAGGGGCTTCTAATGAGGGAGGAGGAGAAGGAGAGGGAGTGGGAGGAGGCGGACACTGCAGCACAGAGTCATGGAGCCTCAGAGCAGAACTGGGAGAGACAGAAACACAGGCACGCGTGGAGAGAAGGGGAGGGAGAGGTGTCTCTTCTGCTAACATTCAGCTGGTCAGTAGGAGAGCATCCAGTGTACAAAATTCGTGGGAAAACTTTGAAAAGAACCCAAGTCTACAATTATGTCACTCTCCCACCTCAAAGGGGCCCATTCTTGATTTCTAGAGCCAGTATTCTAGAATGGTCTGTAAGGTGCCTTCTAGTTGAGAATATTGGAAAGGAGGTAGATATTGTGAATATAAGCAGTTTGCTCCTTAAGGAACAACCAACTTTTTATCCTGTGGTGACTTTCATCATGACTTGTGTGTTGCTCTCAGAAAGCTCTTTCTGTGCACCATATGAGATCAGTGAATTTTGTAGGAGTGTGATGCATGCCTTTTGTCATCTTGACTACCCTCCCCATTTATAACACTTCATTTAGCTAGAGGAATATATCCCTCCTTTTCTGGAAATGGAAAACATTCCCATCCAGAAAGATATATTCCTACAGCCCTTCTGAAAAGGCTTCCTGGATTCATTCTTCTGCCCTGAAAACCTATTCTTTCTTCCTGGGCTCACACTTGGTTGTGGAAGGGTTCTGTCCTGGGATTGCTCTTAACCTCTTGCAGACAGTACCAACCCCTGGGTCAGAGCCATCCCTTCCCCCTGTGTGGGAAGAGCCAACTCTGGTAGGTTGTTCAGAAACACCAGCGTTGAGCCTGTAGCTTCTTCAGCAAGCGTCTGCCCTGTGCTGGTGCTGTACTAGTCTCGGGGATGGGGAGGAGCAAGCTGTAGCCTCTGTCCTCTGCACAGGAGTTGGGGAGAAGATCTCAAACCTGATGATGGCTCCTGAAGCAGGAACCACAGGCCTCAGGGCGTAGGGTGCCCAGGGAGGCACCTCTTGGACCTGAGCCAGGAAGAGCTGTGCGCTCCGCAGGTCCTGGCTGTGTACAGAAGCGGCCCATTGTGAGCCTGGGACACACAGGCGAGAACACGGCTGGCCAAGAACACAGCTGGCCGGGGGTGGCAGCCAGAGTGTGAAAGGCTGTAGCAGGGGTGTGGCTGGAGAGGTCACAAGGACAGTTGGTAACAGGCCTTGAATGCCCAGTGAAGGAGTCTGGACTTCTTCATTCTTTAGCAGTGGGCAGTACTCAAAGGGTTTTCAGGACAAGGACCTGACCTGACGTGTGTGTGGATTACAGAGTCTAACCCTGTTCCACTGAGTCTCAGAAACATGCCCCAAGTGGGGAGGGAACCCCAAGATCTGACTTCCTGTGGGCTGCAAGGTTTCCATACAAGTCCTGGAAAAGTCCTGGGGTTCTGTAAAAAGGAGGGGCCCTCAGCCCAGTGTTTCCTTCCAGCAGCCTTGGCAGGCAGAGGGCATTTTTTTTTCAAGTCCCCAGGTGATTCTGCTGTGGGTGGCCTGAGCTCTGACTCAGAGGTTAAGTTTATGTCCTTTATTATATTTATTAGTGTACTATCGTGTTTGCTTTCAAAGAAGAAAACCAGCAGGAAGGATTTTACTTCTTAATACCTTCCCACCCACTTGGTAGTTTTTATTCATGTGGCCACCAGCAGTTTTCAAATAAAGCTTTGAAAACCGCCTGTTTCACCAGCAATCACATCTTAACCCTGGCCCAGCATCCTTCTCCATGCTAGGCAAGGACAATAAAGGTTAATAGGGAGCATCTGAGGAGCTGACACCGAGCTCTGTTGACCTGCGAGGAGCTGGCCCACTGGGCCATCACCCTCTGGTTCCCCTCCGGACCCTCTGCACCGCCACGCTGCTGTGGATTCTCCCTGGGAGAGCTCAGTGGGTTAAAGCCATAAGTCATTGAATCTTTGTAGGGAGATGTGCGAACCAGGTTCTGGGGCTGCAGACAGCACCTGATTGAGTCCTGCCCTAACAGAGTTTAAATTAGAGCAAACATTTTCAGGTGGCTTGGATATTTTATTTTATGGGGAACATTGAAATATTATCAAACTTCCCAGTGTATACATATACCATAGCTGTCCCGTGGTATCCAAGGGGGATTCCAGGACTTCTGTGGATACCAAAACTTGCAGATGCTCAAGTCCCTTATATAAAATGAAATCGTGTTTGCATATAATACATTCCCTCCATATTTCTAAGTCATCTCTACATTACATATGTACCTGATACAATGGGCTGTACAGTCATACTATATTGTTTAGAGAGTACTGATAAGAAAAAACTCTGTGTAAACACAATTTGAAAACATTTTCAATCCATAGTTGGTTGCATCTGTGGATGTAGAACGTGCAGATGAAGGTGACTGTACATGTCTATTTTACAAAATTGACAATTGAGAAAACTACCTTTCCCAAACCCTTCATGCATGGATATGCCCCTAAATATGGAGACATTCCCAAAAGTAGGTTCATCTGATCTGTGTTTGCTGTTTTATAGCCTAGTGTATTTTCATTTGTATTATAAAATTTTTATTGGCTAGTGAATATCATCCTTTTTAATTGGCTGCATCATATTCAAATTATGTAGATAATTCCCACCACGCAGTTTTTTCATTTTGTACATGTCCCCTAATACCGCCTTTGAGTGGATTCTACACATCTAGAGCTGAGAGAGAAGCTATGGCTATTTTCAATTCTTACATAATCATGCAACTGTGTTCTCGGCCCGGCCTAGAGCAGTGTATACAAGTGTGGACTTCCCCGTTGGGGGAAGTCCTAAATGTCAACATCAGACCTCAGTGACTGAAAGACTTGGCAGCAACCCTGGCCTGCAGCCGCATACAGATTAGCACAGCCCCATAACCCATGTTGGTGCCTAACGCTCTGCCAGAGTTTACAAGGGAATGGATTTAATACAGGACACTTAATTTATAGGATTAGTTTATATTCACCCAAAGAGTCAAATGCAAAAGAGTGAGGAGGTCTATCCACACACGGGAGGCCTAGAGAATCCAGCTGAGGGCCTGGATTCCATGGCAATGTCCTGCACAAGTCCCGCTGAAGACATAGAGCCCATGGCAATATCCTCCATGACTGGAGGTCTAGAGCCACGACAGTGTTCATGCAAGTCTGTATCAAGGATCTGCACTGGGAAGACCTGAAGGTTAGTGGTGGAAGCTAGAAAGCTGCACCATTGGGGTGAGGGATCTGCATTGGAGCCAGGAAGCTACACTCAAGGTAAGGACCAGAGCTCCCCCAAAGAGAACCACAGCCATCCTCGGTGACAGTGAGGACCCGAGCTCCTCCAATGATGAGAACAGCTGCATTTATATCAGGAAGACCAGCATGGCAAGCTTCTCCAGAAGAATCCACAGCACACCCTCTTCTCCTCCAGTTCTCTTTTTATGCTGCTGGCAACAATCCTCAAGTGGGCCTTCCACACCCACCACCATGCTGATTCGGTTCAGTTGGATGTTACAAGCTGACCATTAGTTAACCCACCACACCCTCTTTCTGTCAAAACTTAGAATGGAAGGCTCTTCTAGAGCTGAAAATAACTATAAATATCCCCCAAGCCAGCCCTTAAAGCTGATAGAAAAGGAAACTGGCTTAGAGAGGTCAGTGGCTTTTCCAAGAAGGGGTGGCTTACAGGATCCCCAGTCCTTTGTCCCTCGGGCCACTCTACCTCCCTTCCCTCTGTGAGACTGTCCATTCCTCTGCCACACATCGTGACTCTCCTCTTTCTAGCATGCAAGGGATGTTTTTTATTGTGCAAAGAGGTGAGGTTAAACATTTGTTTCTTCTTTCCAGGATCAATTTTTCTGTTACCCAAGATGCCCTAACAGCAGATTTTACATCCTCCCAGCAGGATTCACAGTGAGCAGCTTGGATCTCTGACACAGCCCTTAATTGTTCTTTAGGTGACACCCTCACTACCAGTGTGTAACATCTGGTACTGTCAGCCTCCTCCTCCTGGAGACTGCTGGCTTCTATCGTTGTGACAGATGCTGGGTTCCCTCCTGCTTTTCTAAGTGTTCCTCCCGTGGCCCCTGCCTGCCTTTCTTCTTTGTCCCTTTGTGGCATTATTTTCAGTGGCAACCCTTCTCCTCTCTGCTATTACCTTATTGCAGTCAGCCCTTATCTGTTAAGGCCCAGTTGTTCATTGCAACCCTGGCCCCACATTTCTTGCTATCTCCAAGTTACCTTAGCTCCAAGTCTCCCAGCTGTGGAAGTTTTTTATTGGGTGAGGGGCTGACCTGAGTACTGCGAAGAGTTTAGTAGCATCCATCATTAGATACCAGTGACACCCACTCTATTTTGACCATCAAAATTATCCTAGACTTTGCAGATATCCTTGGGGGCAGAATCACCCTGGTGAAGCACTGCCTTAACTAGGTTCCATACCATGAAAATGAAGTTTCCACCTATTCCTCCCTTCTCCCCAATGAAAACAGGGTGCATCAGATACTGTGAGATTCCAGCATGACTGTGTATGACGAAAGGCAAGCAGACAGAGGGAAAGGAGCCAGAATCACAGAATTTAGAGATTGGAGGAGCCTCAGTCCCTGAGCTCAGGTGTGCTAAACTTTCATGGCCTTGGTGAACTCTACATTGAGACCTCCTTCCCTTTTCAGCAAAGCATTCCAATTGATAAGAGATAATAGGTCTTTTGCAAAAGGGAAGGAGACCAAGAGGGGGAGGGCGAGGAGGGGAAGGGATGAAAAAAGAATTAAGATGTGTTACGCATATACTGACCCCCCCATGATGGATGAGTCATTATGTACTGTAAACATGTATTAGTAAAACATTTTTTAAAAACAACATTGAACCAAAAAGTATAAAATAAAAGGATGGATAATAGGGAGATGGATCATTTGCAGATGGGAACAGGAAAGAAATCTAGGGAGGGAGAACAGGGTGAGGAGAGATAATTCTTATTATTTGTTATTTGCATGCACCAGCTCCTCATGATGCGTGTGAACTTCCAACAGGTTCTATTCTGTTAAGAAAATTTTATAAAGGAGAAAGAGATGATATGAAAGGTGAACTTTTGTGCCATCCCCGCTCTGATCAAAGTCGTCATGATTACCTGTGTAGTTCTAGGACAGAATTAAATGACTATATAGTTCCAGATTGACATGGCTTTTTCTTTTTTTAAGCTGGATTTTGCTATGTGGTTTAGGCTGGCTTTGAACTCACTTTGTAGCCTAGGCTGGCCTTAAACTCACAGTGATCGGCTGCCTCAGCCTCCTAAATGCTGGGATTACAGGCATGCATTGATTGCCACAGCAGCCTGGCCGTCCTTGTCGAAGACCTGTGGTACCATATTCCCAAGACTAGGCCCAGCACACAGCTGGTGTTCAGTAGATGGGGGTGGAAGAAGTCATTTGACTAGTGACTGTCTCTGGGTGGGTAATACCTTTTAATTTTTTCCCCATTTCTTTATTTTCCAACTTTTCTACCTTAGGGTACTTTTCTACTTGTTTCTTTATAAGAAGGGAGGAAACTCCATGAACATTTTCCCCTAACTGAGAAAGAAAAAAAGCCCCAGAACAACCCTGACCTCATTCCCCGTGTCTTGCCTCCCTAGGTCTGAGCTACCGAAACCATGGCAACCAGCGCTGTCCCCAGCGATAACCTCCCCACCTACAAGCTGGTGGTGGTGGGGGATGGGGGTGTGGGAAAGAGTGCTCTCACCATCCAGTTTTTCCAGAAGATCTTTGTGCCTGACTACGACCCCACCATTGAAGACTCCTACCTGAAACATACAGAGATTGACAATCAGTGGGCCATCTTGGACGGTGAGACCAGGGGCAGCCCTGCGTGGGATGGGACATTTCAGGGGAGGGCGGGGAAATGTGGAAGGCATCAGAGGGGCAATATGAGTTTAAAATAGGGAAAGCCTTTATAGAGGGCTTGGAAAGCTTTGTGAAAACCAAAATGTATGTGCAACAAAGAGACAAGGCTAGAGCCATGTGAACTCAGTGATGTCATGTTTGTTATTGCTTGATCAGAGACTCTGATGAGCAGTTACAGATGTCTCTAGCTAATAAAGGGAAGAACAAATTATTTTTTATAAGCATAGTTTATTTGGTAATGGTCCTTTTGAGGGGTGGATCTTGCCTCTCACATTGTGTTTCTAGTTTTACATTTGTATCTCTCAAGTATTGTAAGCAGGGAACTTAACTAGAAATGTGAATTTTCAGGTCTCTACTGATTCAGAAATTCTGATGATGAGGCAATCCATCCAACATACCCGGGCAATGTAAAGTGAGAAATCACTGCTCTAGATTTTTGCTGATTATTATTTTGTATCCCCTGAGTCTTTCTCTTAAACAAAGACTCATTAATCATAGGATGTTGGTCTGGGAAAGGAGCTTTGAACACTGCTGAGATACAAATTTTCTATCAGATATCTGCTTTGCAAATGTTTTTTTCCAGCCTGTGGCTTGTTTTTCTTTCAAAGGCCAGACCTTTTAATTTTGATGAAGTCCAGTTGATCAGTTTGTTCTGTTATGGACTGTACTTTTGGTGTTGCGTCTGAGAAATCTTTGTTTAAAGCAATCACGACAAGTTTTTTTTTTTTTTTTTTCTTATTTCGCCTAGAAGTTTAATGGTTTTACATTTAGGTTTATGATCTATCATGAGTTGACTTTTTAAAAATGTGGCATGAAAAGAGAACAAAATTCGTTTTTCTATGAACAGACATGAAATGATTCCAGAACTATTTGTCGAAAAGACTGTCTTTGCCCTGCAGAGATGCTTCTGTGCTTCTAGTGAAAGTCCACTGCCAATGAAATCTGTTTCTTATCTATTTATCCTAACACCAGTAACACCCTGCCTTGATAACTGCTGCCTTTTAAGTCTTGAAATCAGACAATCTTAAACCTCCAGCTTTGTTCTTTCTCAAAGTCATTTAAACTAATGTAGGTCTTGAGTATTTCAATATGAATTTTTGAACCAGTTGAAATTTTGGATTACCGTTATTGAACCTTTTAACCCATGAATGCAGGACTATATATCTTGCCATTTATTTAGGTTTTTAAAGGCTTCTCTCATCAATTTTATTGTAGCTTTGAGTGTGTAGGTCTTTCACATGTTGTCAGATTTATACCCATATCTTTATTGATGCTGTTATAAATTATTTTTATAGTTTTAATTTTAGTTTTTCCTTGCTTGCTGCTTATGTATACAAATAATCAGTGTTCTATATTAATCTTATAACTGCAGGTTACTCTAGTGGCTTCTTTTAGATTCCACTGGATTTTCTGACTAGGTTAGGTCTGGGATAAAAGCAGTTTTACCACTTCTTTTCTAACCTGGATTTTCTTTTTCTTGCCTTATTTCCTTGACTGCTGAACAGAAGTCCTGGGACTGGGCATCCTTGTTTTGCTCTTAAAGCAGAAGCATTGAGTATAATGTTAGCTGTAGATTTTTTATAGATGCCCTTTATCAGATTGCATAAGTTGCTTTCTATTCCTAGTTTTCCCATAGCTTTTAATCAGGAACGGCTGTTGGATTTTGTCAGATACCTTTTTTGTCTGTACTGAAATAATCATACTGGTTTTCCTTTTATGTTTCATTAATACAATAAATTAATTTCTTTTCCTATTCTCCTCCCTTATCCTGCCTTATTTTGGGGAGAGTGAACCCAGAATATTGCACATGCTAGGTAAGTGCTACCACTGAGCTTTCTCTCTTTCTTTTTTTGAAATAGGGTCTTGCTATATAATTCGGGCTGGCCTTGAGTTCACTGTGTAGTTAAAACTGGCCTCAAACTTGGGGCTGTCCTCCTTCCTCAGCCTCACGTGCTGGAATTACAGGCATATTCTACCATACCAAGCTCTTTTTTTTTTTCTGATGTTAATACAACTTTGTGTCCTGAAGAAAACCCCATTTGATAGTATAGTTTTTTTTTTAAGAATATTGTAGGCTGATTTGCTAAAAATTTTGTTTAGAATTTTTATATCTATGTTCTTGAGGGGTAATTAGTGTGTATTTTTCTTAAAACATCTTTGCCTGCATTTGATATAGTAATGCTGAATAGAATTAAGTTAGAAATTCCCCCAATTCAGTAAAATTGGTATTGTTTCTTCCCTGAATGTTTAGTAGAATTCACCAGACCATCTGGGCCCAGAATTTTCTTTGTAGGAAGGTTTTCTTTTTAATTTAGATTCTATTAGTACATGTCTGTAATATGTAATGATTACATTCATCCTGGAAAGCTGGTGTATGCACAAACACAGCTTAGTGCTTTTCTCATCCCCTCTGCTGTTCTATCTCATGGTAACCTTCTTTTTTGCAAATGATGTCCCTCCCTGTTTCCTATTGTGGGAATGTTTTCAACTACAAATTAAATTTCCTTAATAGATATGGGACTATTTGGATAATCTGTTCTTCGGTGAATTTTGATAGTTTATGGCTTTCAAAAGTTTGTTCATCACAGTTATCATATGCCTTGGCATAAAGTTGTTTACAAAATTCTCCATAGAATCTAGTGATGTCACCTTTTTCATTCCTGATTATTTGCAATTTGTATCTTCTTTTTTTTTCCTGATCGGACTGGTTAGAAATTTATAATTATTATTGATTTTTCTCTGAGAACCAGCTTTTGCATCCATTGATTTTTTTTTCACTTGGTTGCATTGATTTTTCTCTCTTTATTCTTTCCTTTTGTCTACCTATTTTGGTTTAATTTGCTCTTTTCTGTTCTAATTTCTTAAAGTACAAGCTGATGTCATTTATTTGAGACATTTCTTCTTTTCCGTGGCACTCCTTTGGTGCTATAAATCTCTTGTACTCTTTTAGTTGCACCTTACAAATTTTAATATATTGTGTTTTGTTTTCATCTGTTTCATATTCTTTCTACTTTCTCTTTGGATTTGGTCTTTGAATCACAGGTCAGTTAGAGATATATTGTGTCATTTCTAAGTATTTTGAAATTTTCCTTCTAAGTGTGTCAGGGAACTTACATGTATTATTTGAAGTCTTTTTAATTTATTGAGGCTTCTTTTATCCAAACTGTGTTCAGTTTTGGTAAATGTTCTGTGTGAGTGGAAAGAACTTGTATTTTGCTATTGGTGGTGCAGTGTTGACTGTCAGATCAAATTGGCTGATAATGTTTTCTAAATCTTCTACATCTATATTGGTTTTCTGAACATTAGTTCTTTCAACTATTAAGAAAGAGCATACTTAAATTTCAGAGGATAAATGTAGATTTCCCTGTCTTTTTCCTTTTGATTCTGTCAGTTTTTTGTCTCATGCATTATGACACTCTATTATTTAAAGTGCATAAATGTTTAGGACTTATATAGCTTCCGGATGAATTTGCCCTTTAATTATTGTAAAATACTGTTGTCTTTGAGTTTCCCTTCCCTTCACTGCAGCCTGGAAATTCTCAAGACCAGATGGATGCATAGATGCCCTAATTGATTTTGTATCCTATCTCAAGGATCACTGTTCTTTGTTGTTTGACATCTGGTATCTTGAAAATGGTTATTTCATCTGTTTTTTGTTTTTTCCAGGTGAGTAGATAAGTCTAATTCCTATCATTTCAGCTTGACCAGAGACAGAACCAAATCATGCTTTAAAGAAATACAAGCCCATGAACATACACTACTTTAAGGGGTGAATATTGTGCTATGTGAATCATACCTCAATTAAGAAAGCACTACCTTTGAAGGCTTGTCTGAAGCGTAGGACTTTGATCAGTTCCACCAGGAACCAATGTGTTCCCACTTTATAGACTTGACACGTAGTGTTCTCTGTGCTAGAACATTCTTTCTGCAGAAATACTTACTTTGTTTGGGTTTCAACTCAGATGTCTTTTTATCTGCAAGGTCATCCCAGGCCAAACCACACTAGTGTCCCACTACCCTTGACGTTTCTAACCTGCCCAACTTTGTTTTTTAAATTCAACTTCTATATTTCTTTTACTATTGAATGTGTTATATATTTGTTTGAGTTTCCACCCCTCCCCATTAAAATATAAATTTATGAGCATACATGCTTAATTTTATTTACTACAGTATCCCTAGCATCTAGAGTACTGCTGGGCTCATAGCAGATCCTCAGTAAATATTTGTAGGATGAATAAATGAGTGAGGAAATCCAAACAGTATGTGGACAGTCACAGGTCTGGAGTGCTAGCTACATTATTTTCTTTTTTCTAATTGGCATTAAAATAAACATAGAAATATATATATGTAAATACAGACATATAAAATATATATAATTATTAAAATTAAAAACATACACTTATGTACTTTCTAAAATAATTGCATTCATCACCCACTGAAATCTGTACTGCAGTTCAGGATACACTGAGTTAAATAAATGTAAACAAGTCTCTTTACTACAGGATTTATAAGAACCTTTAATGTACAGCTCTGTTGAAGCATTGTCCTCAGAGTTCTCATTTTTATGATACTGGGACTCAGTGGTACCACTGACCTACAATCCTAGTCACCTTTTTAAAATTTTAGATAGAATCTTGTTAAGTTACCCAGGCTGGACTTAATCTTTCAGTCTTCCTGCCTCACCCTCCCAAAGTGCTGGGATTACAGATATGTGCCACCACACCTACCTCCCAAGGCACTGTTTTTTGCACACCATTCTGTGTTTACAGTAAACATTGTAGAAAATATTGCATAATGTATATAAGAGAGTCACACTGCGCCTAGTACTAATTGTAACTCAATATTATTTCTCTTTGCAGCCATGAAAGTTCTTTAAGTTTTTTCTAAGTCCCTTTGGATAATAGTTTCTGGGGGAAGAAAATGTGTGTTTTTTCAAGAGTGAT